CCAAAGTCTTTTGAGGTTCCTCTTCTCCAGGGAGTCCTTCCTTCTCACGATGAGGCCAAAGTCTTCTGAGGTTCCTCTTCGGGATCTGGCCTCCTAAAGAGCAGTCAGGGTTGGATCTCCTCTAGGACTGACCGGTTGGATCGCCTTGCAGTCCAAGGGACTCGCTGGACTCTTCTCCAGCACCAGAGTTCAAAGGCCTTCATTCATTGGTGCTCAGCCTTCCTTGTGGTCCAACTTTCCCAGTCATACGTTGCCACTGGGAAAAAGCCGGTGGAAGCCACCTTAATTTGGATTCCACTAGTTCAAAGCTGAAAGCCTACTCACACCTTACTATGGAGTAACTAATATAAGAGAAAAGAATAACTGCCTTTCATCAAGATTACTGGAGGTTTTTAAGAAGAGACTAGACAGTCACTTATCGGAAATAGGATAGGTTCTTCTCTTTGAGCAGGGGGCTGGACTAGAAGACCTCTAAAGTCCCTTCCAGCTCTATTTGATTGATTGATAGGTAGGCAGGTAGGTAGGTAGGTAGGTAGATAATAGATAGATAGATAGATAGATAGATAGATAGATAGATAAGTAGATAGATAGATGTAGAGATAGATAAGAGAGAGAGAGAGAGAAGTAGATAGATGTAGAGATAGATGATAGATGGATATAGTTAGATAGACATAGAGATAGATGTAGAGATAGATAGATAGATAGATAGATAGATAGATAGATAGATAGATAGATAGATAGATAGATAGATAGATAGATAGATAGATAGATAGAGACACTGGACAGTCACTTGTCTGAGATGGTATAGGTTCTCCTGCTTGAGCCAGGGGGCTGGACTAGAAGACCTCCAAGGTCCCTTCCAGCTCTATTCTATTCGACTTCATCCGGGCTGTCATACCGCACCCGACCACTAGAGGGCTACAGACAGGGATTCTCTTCGCAAGCCCCCTAGCGGTCTCCCGGAGCTGTGTACCCCTTTGTTCTACTTCGCTTTGCAACAGGCTTTTTGGCGGATCCGGGGCGGCCCTCTCTTTGCTCCTTTTGCAACCTTCGTGGCGGCGGCGGGGGGGGGGGGGGGGGGGGGGGAGAGAAAGCTCCCCAAAGCAGGCGAAAAGCATCTCTCTCCACGCGAGTAATCGCGGATAGGTTTCGGGGGAGAGGTGGGAGGACGCAAACGCGCTCCTGGGCTCGCCAGCCGACTTTAGCCACACCAGATCTTTGGACTGAAAGCAAAAGGAGAGGAGGGGGGGGGGGTGTAAAAAAAAAAAAGCGAGAAGGAGAAAAGGGGAGTCGACAGAGGAAAAAAATCCTTCTTCGGATTGGAGAGAGCGATTGGGAAGGATCCGCCTCTGGTTCCGTCTTTCTCTCGCTCTGGCTGCGAGTCTCTGGGGTTGCGGGGTTGGAGGGTACACACACCCCCCCCCCCCCCAGGGAAGCCTCTCTGGGTGTCCTGTCGGACGGAAGCTGCCCCTCCCCAATAAAAAACCCCTCCCTCCTTTAAAGAAGGATGGCGCACTCTTCGGAGGATTCTTGCAAGATCAAGTTGGGTTTCCCACGCTTGGCGAAGCGTCCCTCGAAGGGACGTCGTTGAAGTCGCCAAAGGAAGGGTGCTCTCAGTCGCCCGCCCACCCACCCACCTCGACCCTTGCCCCCCTCTCTGCGCCACCCCCACCCCCCCTTAGTTTCCAGGCAGCACCAAGGCTGGAGCAAGGAGGCGCTAGAAAAAAAGAAGAAAGAAGAAGAAAAAAGGAGAAAACTTTCCTTCCCAGAGAACATCTGCCTTCCTCGGCTGCGCCTAGCGCGCGCCTTCGCTAGCTGCGCGCCCTCTCCGGGGTGCCGGGGGCGGGAGGGAAAGGAGCCTTCGCTGGATGTCCGAGAGCCGGGGAAAAGTCCGGATTAGCCGGCCACAGGTTCTTCTCTTCCCGTCTCCCCCGCCTGGAGCAGAAGCTGACCGGGAGAAGGAGCTCGACCTGATGTGGATGGAGACGAACCGGGGACGCATCCTCCTGGGGCAAAAACGAAGGCGACCGGGTTGGGGATCCGGCTTGAAGTCTTGAAAAGCGGTTCACCCGACCGCGGGGAAGGAAGGAAGGAAGGAAGGCGAGGCAAGGGCTTGGGGGGTTGTCTTCAGGATGGGGGCAGCGCCCAGTGGCCTCTTGGCTGTCAGCTCACTCCTGGGAGTCCTGCTTTGCAAAGGTGAGTCCGCGGGCGCCTTCGGAGCTCAGCTGGGGAAGGGGTGAGTGGGTGGGAGGCTGGGTGGGTGGGCGCTCTGCAGGAAACAGGGTGGCCAACTTCTCAGGGAGCCTTTCCCCCCCCTCCCCGGGTTCTGGGCTTTCAACCTCTCGGAAGGGCGAGGCTGAGAGGTGAGGATTTTCGCACGCAAGGAGTACAAGCTTTGTCCAGGTGAAAGGTGTTAAAAGTGCAATTGGCAACTTTTTGTTTTTAGGAAATGGCAAGAAACTGGTGGATAACGGGGATTGCAAACCTGCCTTAAACCCGAGTCTTGGCAGTGGGTAGGCACATCTCTGTGCAACTTACACTAAGTTGGAATCCATGAGTGACCAATTTACCCCTAGCCTGTTGTGTTCCATCCTGGATCCCCTCTGGTGGGAGGTTTTTAATGCCAAGCAACCATCTGGGTGTGATCAACTGGAAGAGACTTGCTTTTCTCTTTTGTCTCCTGCTTTGCACCAGGAGTGTGCTTGGAAGTGTGTTAGCCCAGGTCTGAACTGAATTGAATACTTTATTTGGCCAAGTGGGATTAGTCGCACTCAAGGAATTTGTCTCCCGTGCGGAAGATCTCAGTGTACATGCAAAGCAACAGAGAGAATAATAATAGTAATAACTAATAGTAATTACACAATAGTAATAAATAATAGTAATAGGAAAAACAAAATATCATGATTTGCAAATTGAAGTTGAGAGATGGTGGAGGAAGAAACCAATGGCTGTACCAATAGTAACAGGAGCCCTTGGAGTAATTACCCAAAGGGCTTCCTAGATTGACAAGGGGATTTTGAAATTATCAGACTTGAATATTCTGACTTTGCAAAAAAACAATAATAATAATCTTACTCGGAACTGCCTATATACTCAGGCGTTACCTTAACAGCGCTTAGGTACTTGGTTAGGACTTGAACTGTTAAGTTTTTACCAGTCCCAGACTGTGAATCGAATTGAAGATTAAATCAATAATAATAATAATAATAATAATTAATAATAATAATAATAATAATAATAATAACAACAGTAATAGTAATAATAACAACGTACATTTTAAGATACTTGGTTGATACCTAAAATGCTGGCAGCAAACTGTATCAACCATCAGCACCAGTCAATTGTATTTGTGATATGTTTTTATATGTTCAGTTGACAGAGTTTCATGTTTAATGAATAAAAGATTATAATAATAATAGTAATAGCAATAATAATAATAATGATGTCCCAGACTGTGAATCAAATTGAAGATTAACCATAATATATTTTTTACCAGTCCCAGACTGTGAATTGAATTGAAGATTAAATCTTTAATAATAATAATATTACCAATGAAAGGAAGGGGAAAAGATAAGGAGAAGGATTAATAATAATAATAATAGTACAGCCACACTTATGGGTTAATATATGGAGACATTAGACAGCACTGAGAGAATTAGGTGGTCAGCAGAG